AATCCACGCTTGTGTGTCTTGAAGTCCTTGAAAAAATATTCTTTAAAAAATCCACGCTTGTGTGTCTTGAAGTCCTTGAAAAAATATTCTTTGAAAAATCCACGCTTGTGTGTCTTGAAGTCCTTGAAAGAATATTCTTTGAAACATATTTTGAAATATCCACGCTCTTAGCTCCTTTAAGTCCTTGAAAAATATTTTTAAAAATCCACGCTCTTAGCTCCTTAGGTCCTTGAAAATTATTTTTAAAAATCCACGCTCTTAGCTCCTTAGGTCCTTGAAAATTATTTTTTGAAAATTATTTTTAAAAATTTACGCTCTTAGCTCCTTAGGTCCTTGAAAAATATTTTTAAAAATCCACGCTCTTAGCTCCTTAGGTCCTTGAAAATTATTTTTAAAAATCCACGCTCTTAGCTCCTTAGGTCCTTGAAAATTATTTTTTGAAAATTATTTTTAAAAATCTACGCTCTTAGCTCCTTAGGTCCTTGAAAATTATTTTTTGAAAATTATTTTTAAAAATCTACGCTCTTAGCTCCTTAGGTCCTTGAAAAATATTTTTAAAAATCCACGCTCTAAGAAGCTAACTTGAAACTTGAAACTCTTAACACCTAATGGTCTTAATTTTTTGTTTTAATCCACGCTCTTAGCTCTTAAAGTCCTTGAAATATGTTTTTAAAATCCACGCTTGTGTGTCTTGAAGTCCTTGAAAAAAATTCTTTGAACAATCCACGCTCTTAACTCCTTAAGTCCTTGAAAAAAATTCTTTGAACAATCCACGCTCTTAACTCCTTAAGTCCTTGAAAAAAATTCTTTGAACAATCCACGCTCTTAACTCCTTAAGTCCTTGAAAAATATTTTTAAAATCCACGCTTGTGTGTCTTGAAGTCCTTGAAAAAATTTTTTGAACAATCCACGCTCTTAACTTCTTAAGTCCTTGAAAAAATTCTTTGAACAATCCACGCTCTTAACTTCTTAAGTCCTTGAAAAATATTTTTAAAATCCACGCTCTTAACTTCTTAAGTCCTTGAAAAATATTTTTAAAATCCACGCTTGTGTGTCTTGAAGTCCTTGAAAAAAATTCTTTGAACAATCCACGCTTGTGTGTCTTGAAGTCCTTGAAAAATATTTTTAAAAATCCACGCTTGTGTGTCTTGAAGTCCTTGAAAAAATATTTTTAAAAATCCACGTGTGTCTTGAAGTCCTTGAAAAAATATTTTTAAAAATCCACGTGTGTCTTGAAGTCCTTAAAAAAATATTTTTAAAAATCCACGTGTGTCTTGAATTCCTTGAAAAAATATTCTTTAAAAAACCCACGCTTGTGTGTCTTGAAGTCCTTGAAAAAATATTCTTTAAAAAATCCACGCTTGTGTGTCTTGAAGTCCTTGAAAAAATATTCTTTGAAAAATCCACGCTTGTGTGTCTTGAAGTCCTTGAAAAAATATTCTTTGAAAAATCCACGCTTGTGTGTCTTGAATTCCTTGAAAAAATATCTAAAAAATTCTCTAAAATAATTCATAATAAAATCGACGATTATAGCTTTAATATTTTTTAAGAAATCTGCAAGTCAAGCATTAAAAGCCCAACAAGCTGTGAAGATTGGGAAGTTTCAATTTGCCATCATTTGCTACTGAGGAAATCAAAATGCGGTTTCGATTGTCTTGGCCGCAACGCTGGATGGCAAAATGAAATAAAAACCACAGACGTCCTAACTAGGCAAATGTGATTTGTAAATAATAAAGTTATGCTGCCATTTGCAGAAAAACTTACAACAATAAAAACAACAACAACAACACTATTAGAGTTATCGGTAGCAACAGCAACAAAGAAAATGTAATTAACCACAACAGCGAAAACAAAAAAAAAAACGAAGAGATTGAAGAAAAAAGAAGTGAATGAATAATGCCATTGATCGAAGCTACTATCCGCGGAGCGAAAGATTCCAGAGAGGTGGAAACAAAAAACCAACACAGAATTTACCATCAATCAACCTCTAAGATTCGCATACATTTTATGGAGCGTAGATTTTCTTTTTGTTGTTTTTTTTTTTTGAATGGAGAAAAAAATGGAAAGGTTTTTCTAATTCCGTAGTTTGGTGAGAGAAAACGCCCATGGCAGGGGGAACAGTGGTTTCAAAATTAATAAAAAAATATATATTTAATTTTTAATTTTAATGTGGATTTTTAAAAAAATATTTTTCCATGCCAAAATGGCTTTGGTATTAAAATTAAAGGTGGATTAGTGCCAAAATCATGGTATTTTTAAAGCATACTTTTAGGGGTCCAGCAGAGTCACAATCGAGAATTTTCTAAAGAATACTTTAATGGGGTCCAGCAGAGCCACAATCGTCAATTTTTTTAAGGTTACTTGAAGAGCAATCAAAGCTTTAAAACTTGGGTTTTTAGAGAAAAAATTTCGAGGAGGTTTTGAAGGATGTATTCAGAAGACTATCAAGGCCACAATCGTAATTTTTTTAAAGACTATTTTTAGAGGACCATCCGTGCTATAATCGCCGATTTTTTATGAATATGTTAAGAGAACCAAATAAGCTTTTTAAAGAATATTTTTAAAGAACCTACCTACAAGGCTATAATCGACATATTTTTTAAAGAACATTAAAGAGGACTAACAGGGCTTCAATTGAGGATTTTTGGAAGAATAATTTTAGAGGACCCTTTGGGTAAAAATCAAGGATTTTTTTAAAGAATATTTGAGAGCACCAACAGGGCTATAATCCAGGATTAATTGAGGAATATTTTTACAGGACAGCAGGGCTTCAATCGTGGATTTTTTAAAAAAATTTTTTGGAGGGCCAAAAGTGTTATAATCAGGAAATTTTTCTAAGAATATTTTTGAGGATCAACGGGCCAATAATCGAGGATTTGTTAAAGAATATTTTACATATGTCCTCAGGGCTATCGAGGATATTTTTTGAGAATATTTTTAAGAACCAACAGGGTTTTAATTGCGTATTTTGATTAATTTTTTATTTTAGAGGACCTATAGGGCTACAATCGAGAATTTTTCAAAGAATCTTTCTATAGCCTAGTTGGGCTATAATCGAAGATTTTTTAAAGGATATTTTAGAGGACCAACTGGACTACAATACAAAATTTCTTTAAAATTATTTTAAGAGGACCCACTGGGCTATAATCGTGGATTTTTTAGACAATATTTTTAAGGACCAAGAGGGCTCTAATCATGTATTTTATTTTTTAAATATTTTTAGAGGACTATCGGGGCTAATATTGGGGATTTTTTAAAGAAAATTTTTAGATTGCCATCAGGTCTATAATTCATGATTTTTAGAGAATATTTTAGAGGACCAAAATCCGCAATTATGGCACTAATTGCGGATTTTTAAAGAATATTTTTAGAGGACCAACGATGCTCTAATGAAATATTTTTTGAGGAATAAGGGGACTACGATCGAGAATTTTCCCAACTGGGCTATAATTTTCTAAAGGATATTTTTAGAGGACCAACTGAACTACAATAGAAAATGTCTTTAAAATTATTTTAAGAGGACCAGCTGGGTTATCGTGGATTTTTTAGACAATATTTTTAAGGCTCAACAGGGCTTTAATCATGTCTTTTATTTTTTAAGTATTTTTAGACGATTTTTTAAACAATATTTTAAGAGGGCCAACAGGGCCATAATCGCGGATTTTTTTAAAGAATATTTTAGAGGACCAACGATGCTCTAATCAAATATTTTTTGAGGAATAAGGGGACTACAATCGAGAATTTTCTTAGAAAAATATTTTAGAGGACCAACGAGCCATACGAGGATTTTGTAAAGAATATTTTTAAAGGCCTAACGAGGCTCTAATTAAATATATTTTAAAGAATATTTTTAGAGAACTAAATACAACCGGGATTTTTTTTAGAAATGTGTTAAGAGAACCATTACGACTTCAATCATGAATTTTTTAAAGAATATTTTTAGAGGACAAAAAGAGCTATAGACGGGATGTTTTAAAGAATATTTTTAGATGACCAACTGGGTTATAATCGAGGATTTTATAAGAATATTTTAGAGCACTAACGAGGCTATTTTTTAAGGACTTCCAGACCTCTAAGTGTGGATTTGTTTTATAATAAATTTTCAAGGACTTCCAGACCTCCAAATGTGGATTTGTTTTAGAATAAATTTTCAGGGACTTCCTGACCTCCAAACGTGGATTTGTTTTATAATATTTTTTCAAGGACTTCCAGACCTCCAGATGTGGATTTGATTTAGAATACATTTTCACGGACTACCAGACCTCCAAATGTGGATTTGATTTAGAATTAATTTTCACGGACTTCCAGACCTCCAAATGTGGATTTGTTTTAGAATAAATTTTCAAGGACTTCCTGACCTCCAAACATGCATTTGTTTAGAATAATTTTTAAGGACTTCCAGACCTCCAGATGTGGATTTGATTTAGAATACATTTTCACGGACTACCAGACCTCCAAATGTGGATTTGATTTAGAATTAATTTTCACGGACTTCCAGACCTCCAAACGTGGATTTGTTTTAGAATAAATTTTCAAGGACTTCCTGACCTCCAAACATGAATTTTTTAGAATTTGTTAAACTATACACAATTAAATCGGAACATGCCCACAGTGAGCTGCCGAACCCGAACTGGTTCGGTAAGTTGGTTTGGATCGGGTTATCAGCCTCTTCCACTGTGCGGAAATGTTGTTTCTTATTTTTTCCCCCCTACTTCATTATGATAAATGTGCGTCAAGAGAGGTTAGCTTGTGGTACACGCAGACTCACACCCTTTCTCTAACCCAAAACACCAACAACAACACCTAGAAGAAACCCAAAACAAAAACCACAGATAAACTTCACACCAAAGCGAGAAAAAGATGGAAATAAATTGCAAATCTTCGCAGCCACTTCCAACCCACAGACAAATCTCAGCCCAGAGAAAAGCTCTGCTTTTGAGATAAAACATAAATATTACTACCTTCCAGTTATTCACCGTTTAACCTTTCTTCTGTTACAGTCTCTGAATCAAAACGGCATTCATACATCATCGGCGGTAACGACACCAACGTCAACTCCATCATCATCTGCAGTATCATCTCAAGCCCCAACTCATACACGTCCATTGACATTGGCCACAACAGCGGGTTCAACAACGAATATATCGAGTGGTAGTACTGTCGCAGTAGGAGGAGGAGGTGGAATACCAGTGAAAACCCCAAGATCTCCAAGGCCCCCATCAAACCCTGGAGCCATCAACGCCCAGCATCATTCACATCATCATCAAGACACACAGACTCCCAACGCGGTTGGCAGCAAACTAACGCCCAGCAGCGGCCTAAAACCAACACCCAAGACACCGCCCGTCACCCCCGATTCGCCCACAACCTATTTAGATGATGATTTAGATTCCTTGTATTCCTATACCACAACATCGGGTCGTTCAACCATGTCCTGTGAACATCCCTATGTGGCCAGGTAAGAGAAGCATTACTTTTTTGTTTTTATTTTTTAATAATTTCCTCTCTTCCCCTCCCCCCAGAAATGGCACAACATTTAGTGGTCGTAAAATGAAATATGTGGTTCATTGTTCCAATTATGCGGGCCAAGTGGGTGCCGACTACCTAACACCCACCCAACGGGCCCAGCGCCAAATACGTCGCCTCAAGGAACTCTTGTGTGCCGCTCGCCAGGATTTGGAACAAAAAGATTCCGAGCTGTTACGTTTGACACGCGAAGTTGTGGAGTTGAGACTCTTCAAGGCATCGCTCTCTTCACCCGATGAGCGTTCCGCCTCCAGCGATGCGGTAACAGTACGCGAAGCAGAACTCAAGACATCTCAAGATGTCTCACCCATTGTCGATATGGTCGATGATGGCCAAAAACAACATTCCTCACCATCACGTCACATGCATGGCCACACGCATCACCAACCAATGGGCCATGCCGCCTCGGCCTCGCCAACCATTATGACACATGCGTCACAAAGTTCCACATCCTCGCATCATCATCATCACCATCATCATCATGACATGCAAAGCTCTTTTGCCGATTCGGGACATTTTGAGGATATGACCTCATCATCGGTCCACTCCAAAGATTCCTCCTATGCACCCTCATCCCATGGCAGTCATCTGCATCATCATGAGGGAGCCTGTGGCGGTGGTGTTGCCGGGGAACATCATCATGGTGAACCATCCACATCCACCATTGAACAGTACGAACTGCAGCGTCAGGAATTGATACGACTCTATGAACAGCGTATCGAAGATTTAATTCGCAGCCAAGATGCTGCCGCAGCCGAAGTGAAACGTTCGAATAATGATCGCATCGAAGCGCTGCTCCAAAAACTAGCCGAGTGCAACACTCGCTATGCCGACATTGTTCCCGATTACGAACATGCCAAGGAGCGCATCCGTGAATTGGAGAAACAATTGGAAGATCTGCAGCGTAAGCTGGCCGAACACGAAGAGAAGCAGAAGCAAATGTATTTGCACATGTACCAGAAGGGTCAGGAAGCCGAGCGTATTGCTCGTGCTGATCAGGTGAGTAACACTGGGCAACAAAAAAGTCTAACGAGAACGAATGAGGGGTAAAAATATAAGATGACACTGTACAACAAAAAAAAAATTACGGAAAAAAATCAGCAGATTTTAAAGGTAGAGCTAAAAAAAGACACGTGCATCGGCGTTTTGAAAATTTACACCCAAAGTAATCTTAATAGAGGGGATAATTTCGCCCCTCTTCCACACTTTTGGACATATTCGGATTAAGATTACTCGGAATCCGTGCATTTTACATATATAGTGTCTTCGCCAATATTGTAGATAAAAATACGAAGAATATTCTTGTAGACAATAAGTCAGTAAATGGATCTGTTTGGTACTTTTTCAAAGAAATCCACGTTGAAAAATATTCTTTAAAAAATCCCCGTTGATAGGTTAGGAGGTCCTTGAAAAATATTCTTTAAAAAATTCCCGTTGATAGGTCAAAAGGTCCTTGAAAAATATTCTTTAAAAAATCCACGTTGATAGGTTAGGAGGTCCTTGAAAAATATTCTTTAAATATCCACGTTGATAGGTCAGAAGTCCCTTGAAAAAATTCTTTAAAAAATCCACATTGATAGGTCAGAAGATGCTTGAACAAATTTCTTTAAATATCCACGTTAAATTCACTTTGAAAATTTTTGCTCAAAAACTACACGTTTATAGGTGAGAAAGTCCTTGAAAAAAATTGTTTTAAATGCACGTTTATAGGTCAAGAGGTCTTTGGAAAAAAATCGTTTAAAAATCCACGTTGATAGGTCAAAAGGTCCTTGAACAATATTCTTGAAAAAAACAGGTTGATAAGTCAGGAGGTCCTTGAAAAATATTATTTAAAAATCCTCGTTGATAGGTTAGGAGGTCATTGTAAAATATTCTTTAAAAGATCCACGTTGATAGATCGGAAGGTCCTTGAAAAATATTCCTTAAAAATCCACGTTGATGGGTCAGAAGCTCCTTCAAAAATATTATTCAATAAAACCCACGATGATAGGTAGAAGGTCCTTAAAAAATATTCTTAAAAAAATTCACGTTAATAGGTCAGAAGGTCCTTGAAAAATATTTTTTAAAAAATCCAAGGTGATAGGTCAGAAGGTCCTTGAAAAATATTCTTTAAAAAAATCCACGTTGATAGGTCAGAAGGTCCTTGAAAAGTATTCTTTAAAAAATCCACGTTGATGGGACTAAAAGTTCCTTGAAAAATGTTAATTAAAAATTCACGTTTATAGGTCAGAAGGTCCTTGAAATATATTCTTTAAAATATCCATATTGATGGGTTAGAAGGTCCTTCAAAAATATTCTCTAAAAATCCACATTGATAAGTCAGAAAGTCCTTGAAAATATTATTTAAAATATCTACGATGATAGTTCAGAAGGTCCTTGAAAAATTGAAAAAAAAAAATCCACGTTGATATGCCAGGAGATCCTTGAAAAATATTCTTTAAAAAATCCACGTTGATAGGTCAGAAGGCCCTTGGAAAACGTTCTTTAAAAAGTCTACGTTGAAGAAGGTCCTTGAAAATATTCTTTAAAAAATCCTCGTAAATAGGTCAGAAGATCCTTGAAAAATATTCTTAAAAGGATCCACGTTGATAGGTTAGGAGGTCCTTGAAAAATATTCTATAAAAAATCCACGTTGATAGGTTAGGAGGTCCTTGAAAAATATTCTATAAAAAATCCACGTTTATGGATCAGAAGGTCCTTGAAAAATATTCTTAAAAAATCACGTTGATAGGTCAGAAGATCCCTGAAAAAATATTCTTTAAAAAAACCACATTCTTAGGTCAGAAGGTCCTTGAAAAATATTCTTTAAAAAATCCACGCTGATAGATCAGAATGTCCTTTAAAAATAGTCTCTAAAAAATCCACGTTGATAGGTAAGAAGGTCCTTGAAAAATATTCTTTGAAAAATCCACATTCATAGGTTAGAAGTCCCTTGAAAAATCTTCTTTAAAAATCCACTTTGATAGGTCAGAAGGTCCTTGCAAAATATTCTTTAAAAATCCACATTCTTAGGTCAGAAGGTCCTTAAAAAATATTCTTTAAAAAATCCACATTGATATATCAGAAAGTTCTTGAAAATATTATTTGAAAAGTCTGCGATGATAGGCCAGAAGGTCCTTGAAAAAAATGTATTCTGTATTCAATGAAAAACAAATGTATTCTGGGAGTATCAACAGTTGGAGTGATACACTGTCCGGCCCAGCTAAAGATGACCAATAAATCCCTTGTCCCTCTTTTCGTTTCGTTTCTTTCCTTTCCCTTTCTCTCTTTAATCATTCTAATAACATTATTCTTCATCTCTCTCTTCCAGGCCTTAGAATTGGCACATCGAGCACCACAAAATAAAGTGTCCATCAACGAGCTGCTGCACCAGCTGCAATCCACCCAGGACGAATTGGAGAACATACGTGTAAGATTTTTCAAAATCTTTATCATATTCTTTTCGATATTATTTTGCATATTGCATTTTGTTTGCGTTGTGTCTTGAGGAAAAACAAGAAAAAAAACCAAAACAAAAACGAAAATCAAACACGAAACATAACCACATATATCATAGATAATAACCATTAAAAAAGTCATTTAAAGAAAGAACGAAAAAAAACGAAATCAAGAAGAGAATGAATGGAGATCTCGTTTAATCACAGCCACTCTAAATCACTCTTTCACCTATTTTCATAAACTGTCTCTTAGTTGTCTGTCTAACAGTGTTTGTTGATCTCACTCTCTCTGTCTTTCTCTCTCAAACTACCATTCATTCATAAGAGAAATTTGTTATTGTCTTCATTATTTTTGCTCTAGAAATTTTCTCTCTCATTTACTCTCTCTTGTTGATCTCTTAATGTTGATCTCATTGTATTTGTCTGGCTTCTTACATTTGAGTTTTGGAGATATATTTTTTTGACATTAAAATGTAGTTGTTTGTCCTTTTTGTTACAAAATTACACTGTCTTTGCACCAACATTCTTTCGATTATTTTCCAAGTGTCACAGTGACTATTTTCTTCTTCAACTTCTTCTTCCGTTACAAATTCGAATTTGAATATAGCAAATATAAATACATTTTAAATTACATTTTAATTTGCTTTTCGAGAACAAAATGTAAAAACATTGGCAAAAGCAAAATTTAATAATGTTTATTTAATAATTTTTAATATATTTAATTTTTTTTAAATAAATTTTGTAATAAAATTGGATTTTTATATTTTATTTTAGTTCGAAAGAGAAGAGAAAATTTAGATGATTTAAATATTATGTTCATACCCTACACCATTACGTTGGCTTCTATAAAGGAAGAATTTTAAAATCCATGATTATAGGTTATAGAGTCCTTAAAAAATAGTCTTCAAAAGTCTGGTCCTAATAGTTCCCCTAAAATTTTTGTTAAAAACTCTTCCTTGAAAGCTCTGATGGTCCTTGAAAATATACTTTAAGAATTCCTTGTTGATAGGCCTGAAATATTCTTCGAAAAATCCAGATTAAGGCCCTTGACAAATATTTTTTTCAAAAGATCCACATTGATAGGCCTGAAGGTCCTTGGCAAAATAGTCGCTAAAAATCCACGTTGATAGGCTTCATAGAAATATTCTTTGAAAAATCCACCTTAATAGTTGTTAAGCTTGAAAGTCCTTAAGAAATATCTTTTAAAAAATCCACGTTGTTAAGCTTGAAAGTCCTTAAGAAATATCTTTTAAAAAATCCACGTTGTTAAGCTTGAAAGTCCTTAAGAAATATCTTTTAAAAATTCCACGTTAGTAGCCTTGAGAGTCCTTGAAAAATATTCTCTAAAAAAGGTCTGAATGTCCTTAAAAATTTCTTTAAGAAATCCACATTAAAAGCCTTGAGAGTCATTGAAAATATTCTATTAAAAATCCACGTTTGCAGGTCCTTGAAGATGTCTCTTTAACAAATCTAAGTTTATTGGTCTGCAGGTCTTTAAAAATTTTCTTTAAGAAATCCACGTTAATACCCTTGAGAGTCCTTGAAAAATATTCTCTGAAAGGTCCTAATGGTCTTCGAAAAAGTTTCTTCAAGAAATCCACGTTAATACCCTTGAGAGTCCTTGAAAATATTCTCTAAAAGGTACTAATGGTCCTTGAAAAAGTTTCTTTAAAAATCCACATTTATTGGTCTGCAGGTCCTTGAAAAAGTTTCTTTAAAAAATCCAAGTTTATTGGTCCGTAGGTCCTTGAAAAGTATTCTCTAAAAGGTCCTAATGGTCCTTGAAAAATATTCTTCAAAAAATCCATGTTTATTGGTCCGTAGGTCCTTGAAAAATATTCTTCAAAAAATCTATGTTTATTGGTCCGTAGGTCCTTGAAAAATATTCTTCAAAAAATCCATGTTTATTGGTCCGTAGGTCCTTGAAAAGTATTCTCTAAAAGGTCCTAATGGTCCTTGAAAATGTTTCTTTAAAAAATCCACGTTTATTGGTCCGCAGGTCCTTGAAAAATATTCTTCAAAAAATCCATGTTTATTGGTCCGCAGGTCCTTGAAAAATATTCATTAAAAAATCCACGTTTATTGGTCCGTAGGTCCTTGAAAAAGTTTCCTTAAAAATCCACGTTTATTGGTCCGCAGATCCTTGAAAATGTTTCTTTAAAAAATCCACGTTTATTGGTCGGCAGATCCTTGAAAAAGTTTTTCTAAAAAATCCACGTTTATTGGTCCTTGGAATGTTTCCTTGAAAACGTTTCCTTAAAAAATCCACGTTTATTGGTCCAGGTCCTTGACAATGTTTCTTTAAAAAATCCACGTTTATTGGTCCTCAGGTCCTTGAAAACGTTTCCTTAAAAAATCCACGTCCAGGTCCTTGACAATGTTTATTGGTCCTCAGGTCCTTGAAATGTTTCCTTGAAAACGTTTCCTTAAAAAATCCACGTCCAGGTCCTTGACAATGTTTCTTTAAAAAATCCACGTTTATTGGTCCTCAGGTCCTTGAAAAAGTTTCTTTAAAAAATCCACGTTTATTGGTCCGCAGGTCCTTGAAATGTTTCTTTAAAAAATCCACGTTTATTGGTCCGCAGGTCCTTGGAAAATATTCTTTAAAAAATCCACGTTGGTAGCCTTAAAAGTCCTTGAAAAAGATTATAGGTCCTTGAAAAAGTTTCTTTAAAAAATCCATGTTGTTAGCCCTAAAGGTCCTTGCAAAAGTTTCTTTAAAAAATCCACGATGGTAGCCCTAAAGGTCCTTGAAAAGGTTTCTTTAAAAAATCCACGTTGGTAGCCTTAAAAGTCCTTGAAAAAGATTATAGGTCCTTGAAAAAGTTTCTTTAAAAAATCCATGTTGTTAGCCCTAAAGGTCCTTGCAAAAGTTTCTTTAAAAAATCCACGATGGTAGCCCTAAAGGTCCTTGAAAAGGTTTCTTTAAAAAATCCACGTTGATAGCCCTAAAGGTTCTTGAACAGGTTTCTTTAAAGAATCCTCGTTGGTAGCCCTAAAAGTCCTTGAAAAAGTTTCCTTAAAAAATCCATGTTTAGAGCTTTGAAGGTCCTTGCAAAAGTTTCTTTAAAAAATCCACGTTTAAAGTATTGAAGGTTCTTGAAAAATATTTTTTAAAAATCCACGTTTGTTGGTCTGTAGGTTTCTGTAAAAAAATTATTTAAAAATCCACGTTTATAGATCTGAAGGTCCTTGAAAATATTTTTTTTAAAAAAACCCCATTGATTATGGGGTCCTTAAAATATTCTAAAAAATACTAATTTAAATTTATTTGATCTGTAATGGTGTAGGGTACCTTATGGTCGGCCATGACGACCATATTCCCCTTTTTATTTTATGTTTTTTTTAATATTTTCTTCAAAATTCAAATATTTCTTCTTTTGTTTGTTTTGAAAAGCATTAGTAGTTGTTGGAGGGCAATTTCTTTCAAAACCTAACCCAGCAAACACATCTAAAGTAGTGTTCTTTTTTCTATAAAATTAACAAACAATAAATAAATTTAGGAGGGCATGGTTTGAGTTTTTTGTTGGTTCGATGCAATGTTAATTAACATATGTATTTTCGAAATTAATATTTGTAGACACTTTTTCCATACAACTTCTGTTTTGCATGTCCATTTAAAAAACGTAGTTAGCCTCTTTTCCTTTTTAACACAAATATCCTGATTGACCACTCGCCCCGTCAAAAACTCAATTTTTAATTTTGCTGCTCTCTATAAAAAAAGCCTTTTAAATCCTTGTTTCCAAATTTCTTTTTATTTTTTGTTAATGTGCCAACTTTTGATTTTTTCACAATGATTAAAAAATAATAAGAAAAAAATTGAAAAAGTTTTTAAAAATATGTATACCTTCCAAAAACAACAACAACAAATTACAATCCCCCCAACTATTATTTATAGGCAGCAGAATGTAGAAATGAATGCGGCAGTAATCATGCTCTCCTTACTGCAAAAGAGGCTATTTCTTTATGGGTTCTCGGCGCGCGTAAGGTTTGTAAACGATTTTCAAATATTAGTTTTGAACACACAATTTATTTTTTGAGTTTTTCAAAATTTTTTGATTTTTTTTTGGGTTTGAGTATTATTTTTTTAAATATTATTTTTTTTAATATTATAATATTATTTTTCATTTAAAATCAAAACCAGTTCACTAATTTCATATTGGGTTTTTTTTAAAGTGCGGATTTTTTTTCACACTCATTTTTTGTTGGTGGTTCCCCAGGAGCTCCATGGTGTATTTCTGTATTTGGTTGTACGCGGTGTTGTGATGTCATATAATTTTTTGGTTTCCATTATTTTCATTTCATTTTTTTCTCTCTGTCTAACATCATTAATATTCATATTTTTGTTGTAAATTTTCATCTAACGTCGTTCATTGTAACCATAACCTAACCTAAAAATGTCATTGATGTGGAATGAAGGGAAGTCATTTGCATTAAAAACAATTCACTTTTTAAGGATGTGATAGGTCAAATATTATTAAATATTCTATCATTTATAAAAAACAATTGAGGGATTCAAATATTTATATAAAAAAAATTTGAAGGTCGATACAAAATGTTTTGAAAAATAAGAAAAAATATATCGATAATTTTACCGACATACATATACCCTCAAAATATGACCGATTTCATACATCTAAGAAGTTCACGATTTTCTGTCCAAGAAATTCAGGAATATCGCAATGTTCTAGAGCTGTTAAAAATTAATCCAAAAAAATACCTATTTTTTAACCAAAATTGAAACCCCTTGCAAAATCCACGATTTAGTCGGGATCTCTGAAATATTTATTTCAAATCCCCAACAAAGATTTAAAATAAAAAAATATACTGCCTTTGGCCTACAAGGCTCTGTAAACTTATTTAACATAATATTTTAAAAAATCGATTTTAAAATTCAATTTTAAAACTTTTTTTTTGAACAAAATTTCGTAAAAAACCGGCCAGACAACTATTGGAAAAGAAATCTAAAAAAGTAAAAAAGCTGTAAGTTCGGCTGGAATAAGTTCGGCTGGAATAATAATGTAGTTAAAATCATCAAAAATACCGAATATAGAGAGGTACCGTTATATGGGGGGTATACGAAGACGTGAACCTACGCAGACAATTTTCGGTCACGGGCTGTAGTACCTATTGGGAACTTCAAATATCAAATTTGAAACATTTCCGGTGAATAATGTCGCAAAAATCATCAAAATACCGAATATCGGGAGGTGGCGTTATATGGGGGCTATACAAAGGTGTGGACCAGCATGGACAATTTTTTGTCATAGTCTGTGGTATTCATCACGAACTTCAGATACTAAATTTGAAACAATTCCGGTGAATAATGTCGCTAATATCATCAACATACCGAATATCGGGAGGTACTGTTATGTAAGCGCTATACCTGCACAGACAATTTTCTGTCATGTACTGTAGTATCCATTACGAACTTCAAATACCAAATTTAAAACAATTTCGGTGAATAATGTCTTTCCAATCATCACAATTCCGAATATCGAGAGGTGCCGTTATATGGGAGCTATACGAAAGCGTGTCCCATTTTCAATACAAAAAGTCCTGCAGACATAATATACATTTGAGTAAAATTTTATCAACCTACTTCATTTTTTTTCGGAATTTAGAGTGATTTCCACAGACGGACAGACCGATGGCAGACAGATGGACAGACAGATGTCGTTAAATCGACTTAAAATTTTTAAGCTGATTATAAATATATATACTTTATGGGGTCTACGACGAATATTTAGGTATATAACACATTAAATGACAAAGTTAATATACCCTCCTTTTCAAGGTGGAGGGTATAACTAGTAAAAAAATATCCCGAAAGTATGGTCTGGTCAAATGTCAAAATTGGATGGCAATTCTTCAAAGTCAACATTTCAGCCAATCAGAAGCAGGCAACCCATGGTACTATTTTTTATTTGGCCTCTAAGTTTTACTAGGTTTTCGGGTACGAGAACGGGCCTTAAGTAAAAAATTGTAAAACTAGTACAGTAAAGCATGCATACAGTTCAGGACCGGGCAGAGAGTCTCAATTTTATGTTCTCCCAATTTGATAACTCTCTGATTCTTTTTTGAAGTTATCGAAAAAAATCGGTAAAATAAAAATACTAATAATTTCGATAAATAGCTATTTTTTTCTGGTAGGTCGGCGACCAAAAAAGTAGTCGTTGATTCCAAGCGATATCAAAAGTAACGTGAACTTTAATTAAGACTTTTTATTTACAATTTTTGGTTTCAATTTTACCGATATTTATCGGTAACTCAAAAATCTGTTAGAGGGAATGGCTGTATGGAGAGAATTACACTCTTCGCAGGCATACGTACCTGCATTTGCATGCCCCTGTAGTTAACGACATTTATCGATAACAATTTTATAACAGCAATTTTTCAATTAAGACCTACCGATAGTTAACAATGTTATCAACTTTATGATTTTTTTACCTGAACTTCATTTGAAATTTACCGATTTTTGTCGGTAATGACACAAAAATAGAATATCCCAGTACGGATTTATTTATTGTTCATAATTAATATTTAGAATATCATATTCTTAAACATTCACATTTCAACATAAGTATTGAAATGTTTTAGATTTGTTAACGAACATTATTTTTTAACTCAACGACATCGAACTGGGCGGCATACTGGTTTATGCCACTTTTGATTTGACGAATTTAAACGATTCACGATTTAAAAATGGACAGCAAGCAGTCCATACAACTTCAAACAAGTTTTACGTGTAGTTTTTACAATTATTTATAGACTTTTTAAGTTGGATGGTATATTGCGAGATTTTATTTGGAATTTTTCCACTAAAGAGTAGAATGTAATTTCCCAAATTCTGATGCAAAGAAAAAAAGTGTAGCAAATAATTATTGAAAGCCATGATTTTTGAATAACCTCATTGAAATATTCTCATAGCTCTGCTTACGTTTTTAACCTGTAGTGCAATTTTGCAACTCTTTCGGTAGTAGCCGACCAGGATCGGGAAATTTCATAAAAATGTTTAATTAAAGTTGACAGCATTGTTTCTATCGGTAGGTTTTAGTAATTACTACTTATCGAAAAAATTCGTTAATTATCGAAATTGGAAAATTGGTATTGTCGATAATTGTCGGTAATTCTGTCTTTCACCAGTTAGAGAATAGGACAACTAAAGTGGAAACTGATATTATGATGTTTCATATTTGAAATATATCGTGGCCTGCGATTGCTTTATGTGTGATTCATGATTTTTTATAATCTTTTTCTAGGATTGGTAACTGTGGGAAAAAGGGCACCGATATAGATATAAAGATAGATATAAAGACTCATCTCTCGTTTTGTTAACGTTATTATTTTTCAAAAAAATCTTGACTCCATAAAGCGTCCTTTTATTCTTCAACTAATTCTGCTAACATTTTAGACGTGGAAGGTACCAACATTATTTGGCAACTTTTTTTATTTTTTATTTACTTTTAATATTTCAATAAAACCAGGAGTTCAAATTGACTTTGATTGTGACACAAATCGACTGTTTGTAATTGACTTTCCATTTTTATACTCTCAGCCGTTTGGCCAGAGAGGGTATATATCATTTGATACGACCAAATAACGGTTTTATTTCGCAAAAGGTCAAAATTTTGAATAACTCTCACAAAATTCGAAATAAGTGTACGATTCTCTTCAAAATTCACACATTCCCTACCTTGAATAACCAAAACAATTTTAAAAACCGAAATATGCATCCGGTTCTCTTCCTATTTCCCACATCCCATTATTTCTACTAACACAAGATATCCTGTGAAGATGGGATATATCCGTCTACTCCTTTTGGTATCTCCCCCACAAAGGGTCAAAATTTTGAATATCCACGAAGCACGAAATGAACATCCGATTTCATCCAGACTTGGTATGAAATCGACTTTCCATCAACACAAAATCTGTTATAACCATTTCGAACCATTTCTTCTGGTACCTCCCCCACATAGGGTTCAAGAGTTTGAAAAACTAAGCGCTCAAAGAAAGCGAAAACAGCATCCAACTCTCTTCAAATTTCACACATACAAACATTTTTGCTCACACATACAAACATTATCTGTTATAACTTGCGAAACATTTCTCTCAACCAGAAACCTGAGATGAATATGGAATTTATGATTCCGCACAAAATTAGATATAAATGTTACATTTTCTTTTCATTTTGCCCCTACCAATATTTTTATCTGCATTAGATGAAGTAGGAAAATGGATTACTTCGGTCGACTACATGTGGCACCTCGCACACACTTTTAAAATTTTCTAAAAAAAAAAGAAGTAGTCGACATACTCCGAACCTACCACATCGCAATACTTATATCATATTTAGTTTGGTCCAATACGACATGGACAATATTGGCCCAATCCTTCGGCCCCTATTCCATAGAGAGTCAACAATTTGAATAATCATAAATAAATCAAATAAATAATCGAACATTTGGTTGAGGGTATACATCTGTCGGCTGAAACTGATACTTTTTAATTTGTTGTAATTTGGTTTCTTTAATTTTTGATCGGTGGCATTTGTCCAACATTTAGGCCCTATGAAGTGTCGATAGGTATTCAAAACAATTTACACAAACGTTGTGGTCCATTTTACCAGGCAAATATCACTCCATGGTTATCCAAAATGCTGCTACTTAGTCTTCAACTCTTACTCCAAGATAACTTTCACGCCGATTGGTCTATTATAGAGCAAATGCAAAATCCGGAATTTTTCTGCCTTCGTCCCTTTTAACTCTTTAATGCTCTGACTCTAATCCCTAACCCCAACTCCATGCATTTGAGGATCGGAATATAATTGCTACATGTAGCGTGATTACAGCTCATCGAGATATAACGATCCATATGTAACCTCTCTGGTCTTAGACCAATATTTTGCGGTGTTACAAATTTTTGGACCCACCAAATAATTGCTACCTGTAGCAGGGATTAATTGCTACCAGTAGCAGCTCGGCGAAATATAACGATCCATATAAAACATCTTTGATCCAAGACCAATATTTTGCGGTGTTACAATTTTTTTGGTCCCACCAAAATTATTATATATCCAATGCATAGGGTTTCAGGGTATAGAAACCAGAAAATTCAAACAAAGCGAAGCGATTTATCGAAACTTTGCATGGACTTTATACAATTTCAGGTCATCCAACAATAAATTCCTTTTAGCTTTTTATAGAAATTCCGATACTCCTGGACAATATATCCGTTTACTGGTTTTAATAAATATTTCCCGGAGATTTTATATAATTTTGGAATTCCCAATAGAAAATGAAATATTTAAATGTATGTGTGTGTTTTTTTAATATATTAGCAATGGTTTGATGGAATTGAGGGCAATAATTTTCATTTAAAAAATAGGAAATAAAAAAACTATGATCTATACTTATTTTTATCTTGAGTTTTCAGTGAATATATATTTTTGTAATAATAAAAAAACCTTCTTTCCAATAAGTTTCCTCTTGTTCTGTACCATAAATATATATTTTTCTTCTTTCTCCTTCTACCGTTTTTTTTTTTTCAAAAAAATAATAAAATTAAATAATAATAATTTTTAAAAATTTTCTTCTTTGAAGTTCGATTACAAATATTGTTGTGTAAATGTTCTATGAGTCTCGTAAGAAAATTTATTAATTGTGTATAAATAAATACATATATATAATCCAAAAAATATATATATAGTAAAAATTGTCTTACACAACCAGAGATGTGAAAGGTATGTAAAAAATACAAAAAAACAAATATAGAGAACAAAAAAAAAAAGATACACACAACAGACATGAAGTTACAGAACATAAAACAGTTACAAGAAAATAAATACATTTTGTATTATTTTTAGGAGTTTTTTTTAATAAAAAATATATAAAAACATTTTGAAATGTGTAATAAATATTTCGTTTAAGTAAAACTCGATTCAAATGTAAAGAAATCTCAACACCTTAGATGTTATAATTTTTATTTTTTAATTTAGCATGTTTCATTAAAAAAAAAATATAAAAATATATATATTATTTAAGAAAACTTATAAAATATTTATATATATACAACAGACTCATCCATATATCTATATAGATGATATATTATATTTATATATACGTATATATATATTTTTGAAAATCATGATAAAATTAATAAATGTTGGAAAAATGTAGGTTACATCTGGTTGGTTTCATTCTAACATCCATTAATTTCATTTTTTGTTAATTTTTTTTATTAACTTTTTACAGCAGCAAAACATGAAATAACATTTAAACACTCTCTTGGGTTTTGTTTGTCATAATGCCATTCCAAAAAAAAAAATATATATTTTATGGTTTACTATTTTTTATACCCTCAGCCATATGACTATAGAGTGTATATATCATTTGATACGGCTAAAACGTGTCTCATCGAAAATGTTTTAGACCCTAGGTCTCTTAGGACCAAATCCGTTTCAGCACATTTGGAGTCCATCTAGCGATGTCCATCCATCCGTCTGTCTGACTGGTAGGTGCGCACGATAACTCTCGAAGGAAGTATCCGATTTGGTCGAAACTTGGTACATCGTAATATTTTTATCAAACTTAGATCGAATTCGGAGATGGACAGTATTGGTCCACTCCTTCTGGTACCACCCCCACAAACAGTCAACATTTTCAAAAAAATATTTTCTGCACAGAAAGAGAAAGGATGATCTGATTTTGTTCCAACTTTGCAAATCCTAATATTTGCGGCAATGCTGGGCCTGGTGCGAAAATGGACAATATCGGTCCGCTCCATCGAGTACATCCCCCACAAAGGGGCAACATTTTTTATTATTATAACTCATATAAAATCCTCCTATAAAATATGATGTAAGAGTCCGATTGTTTTCAAATTACATACAATACAATATTTGTATTAACCCAAGATCTGGTGCAAAGGTGGAATATATCCGGCCACTCTTTGTGATACCTCCCCCACAAAAGGTCGAAATTTTCAAACAAAAATATTTTACTGCACAGAAAGAGACAGGGTAATCCGATTTTGTTCCAACTTTGCAAATCCTAATAATTTCGTCACTGCTACTTTAGGTGTGAAAATGGACAATATCGGCCCACTCCATCGAGTACCTCCCCCACAAAGGGTAAACATTTTGAATAATTATAACTCCTATAAAATGTGATGTAACAGTCCGATTGTCGTCAAATTTCACATATCACAATATTTTTATTAGCCCAAAGTGTGGTGTGAAGATGGAATATATCGGTCCACTCCTTCTGGTACCTCCCCTACAAAGGTCAAAATTTTGAATATCCACGAAGCTCATTAAAACGGGAAATTAACGTCCGATTCCATTCAGACTTGGCATATCTGAATATTTCCATCAACACAAGATCTGTGATAAAGATGGTAGGGATCGGTCCACTCCTTCTGGTACCTCCCCCACAAAGGGTCAAAATTTTGAATAACCAAAGCGATCATAAAATTCGAAATAAGCATCCGGTTATCTTCATATTTCACACATCACAATATTTTTATTAGCCCAAGGTGGGGTGTAAAGATGGTATATATCGGTCCACTCCTTCTGGTACCTTCCCCACAAAGGGTCAAAATTTTGAATATCCATGAAGCTCCTAAAACGCGAAATTAACATCCGTTTCGCTTCAGACTTGGTACATCTCAATACTTCCATCAACCTACGACCTGTTATAAAAATGGTAAAGATCGGACCATTGCTTCTGGTACCTCTCCCACAAAGGGTCAAATTTTTGAATAACCGAAACGATCATAAAATCCGAAATTAGCATCCGGTTATCTTCGAATTTCACGCATCCCATTATTTCAAGTAACACAAGAAGTGCTTTGAAGATGAGATATATTGGTCCACTCCTTCTGGTACCTTCCCCACAAAGGGTCAAAATTTTGAGTATCCATGAAGCTCATTAAAATGCGAAATTAATATCCGATCCCATTCAGACTTGGTACATCTTAATATTTACATCAACACAACATCTGTTATAGAAATGTTAGAGTTCGAACAATTTCTTCTGGTACCTCCCCCACAAAGGTTAAAAATTTTGAATAACCAAAACGATCATAAAATCCGAAATAAGCATCTCGTTCTCTTCTTATTTCACACATCTAAAATTTTTTGATGATACAAGATCTGTTATGAAAATGGTAGAGATCGGACCACTCCTTCTGGTACCTCCCCATGAAGGGTCTACATTTGGAATATCCATGAAGCTCCTAGAACGCAAAATTGACATCCGAATCTATTCAGACTTTACACATCTCAATATTTCTATCAACACAAGATCTATTATAAAGATGGTAGAGATCGGACCATTCCCTCTGGTACCTCCACCACAAAGGGTCAACATTTTAAATAACCAAAACGATTATAAAATCCGAAATAAGTATCTAATTCTCTTCCTATTTCACACATCCCATTATTTCAACTAACGCAAGAAGTGCTGTGAAGATGGGATATATCGGTCCACTCCTTATGGTACCTCCCTCCACAAAGGGTAAACAATTTGAATAATCATAACAGAACTCAAATATATATTTAAATAATCGAACATTGGCTGAGGGTAATAGAGCTGTCGGCAAAACCGACTGACACATTTTTAATGTTTTATATTTAACACCTACCATAATCAAATCCGTTCCATGACATCCATCCACATTAAAATGTACATAACCTAATTTCATTTGTTTTATTGTTAACTTATCACAGAAATAATGTTGGGTATATTATTTTATTTTTGGTTTCATAAGTTATTTAATGTTTTCATTTTTTTGTAACTATCAATTATGTAATCCCATCCCTGGAAAGAGTTATTAAATAAAACCATTTCAAAAATTGTTTACCAATTGCTGAAATTCACATATAAATTGTACCTCTCCTTACTTTTTTCTCTTCTCTTCCATCTCTCTCTCCGTTTCTCCCGCTCTCTTTTTCTTTGTGTAATGTAATCTCTTTATTTTTGAAAACTTCCCCTCTCCATGGATCTCCAAAATAGACCATTTATCGCCGTTTATTGGAAGCTCAAAAGAATCGCACCCATGTGGATCCCGAGGTGACGCTACAGTTCCTCAAAAGTGCCGTCTACTATTTCCTGACGGACAAGGAGAATTCACAGGGCCATTTGCAGGCCATTGAATCCATATTGGAGTTCAGCGAAGCCGAGAAACAGGTCATCAACAAGGCCCGGTCAACGAAATAGAAACAAATTGCTAATAAAAACAACAACAAAAAGGGAATCTTAAAAAATAAAGAAATAAAAACAAAAGTAGTTAAAAATTTAAATACAATGAGGCTTCAAGTAAACAAAAGAAAACAACCTTTGGCCCCCCAATTTTATATAGTTAATGTTATATGAACAAAATATATAAATATTAAAGAAACTACCCATTATTATTATTCAACACCACCACCATTAAATAACCAGTTAAAGTTTTTCAAAACCGAAATTTCTTGTTATTTGAAAAAAATTCAAATCTCCAATTGGTTGTATTTTTTTTTTAAATTTTTTGTCACATTTTTTTTTTTTTTTTTTGAATTCCCAGCAATTTTATTTTATTTTTCGTTGATTTCCCACTATTAGCCCTCTTAAGTAAGCAGAGTTTATGTTTATTGTTTAGAATAATTTTCATTTCTATTATTATATATTATATATATTTTACAATTTTAATTTTATTATTTTTTTATGTGAAACAAAAAAAAAATATTTTTAAATTAGAATTGTTACGAATTTTATCTCTGTGTGTCCTTTATTTTGTGTGTGTTTTATGTTATTTAATAAAAATTAATAAATATTCATTATTAATATTATAAATTTCAAATGGTGTTTTAAATTAAATTATCAGAATGATTTTTTTTTAATTTGAAGAAAATATAAATATATCTGAAATATTAAAAATAATTTAAAATTAGATATCGTGGAAAAAATTATTTCCAGATAAAGATGATAGTCTGAACATGGTATAAGAATGAAAATACAAATCCTTTTCAGATGAAAAAATGATAGTTTGAACATGGTATAAGAATGAAAGTACAACAAATTTAGATATCATGGAAAATTCCTTTTCAGATTAACTGATGGTCTGAACATGGTATAAGAATAAAATTAAAATCATTTTCAGATAAAAATGATAGTCTAAATAAGGTATTAGAATGAAAGTACAACAAATTTAGATATCATGGAAAAAAACCTTTTCAGATACAAATTATAGTCTGAACATGGTATATGAATGAAAATACAAATCCTTTTCAGATGAAAAAATGATAGTCTGAACATGGTATAAAAATGAAAGTACAACAATTTAAAACAACTGCCACTTGCATCGGCACAGCTGCTGAGACAATGAACTGTCAAACCAATTTTGAAAGAAAAATTATTCATATTTATTAAAAAAATTTCAAAAATGCATTTGATAACAACCTTCGATTGGCGTCGTATAGGAAAACATATACAAATCTACTTATTTTTGAAAAAAGAAAAATTTTAAGAATTTGGACATATCAATGTTCCCAAGCGTTTCTGCCATGGTATCATGGAGAAGAATACAGGTGGTCGCATCGGCACAGCTGCTTGGAGTATAAACTGGCAAACCAATTTTAATATTGAAAATTTAAATGAAAAAGTATTCAAACTTGTAAAAATTTTTGAAAAATGCCTATTACAATAATCTTGGTGTCCTATAAGAAAACTTATAAAAATCTACTTATTTTTTTAAAAATCATTAAAAAATTGACATATCAATGTTCCCAAGCGTCAATGCATCTGGCTGTATTCGTCTAGCATGGTTGATATAAATCATGATACAATTAGCAAGGTAATATCTTACAGTCATACGATTACAATTTTTATTTAATGTCCAAAAAAAATTGATTTATTTACAGCCAAATATTTAGCCTTTTAGAGGTTACAGAAGTCAATGAAGAATTTAAAAACTAAAAAATTATCCTCATGAGCCATGTAAGGCTTAATTATTGGAGGGTTGAATTTTTGTTTCAAAATATCATTTTGCGGCTTTGAAGATGCCATTGCGAATTTGTAAAATATGCCACCCGACATCCGAAAATATTTCAGATATGAATATCAATTTTATTTGAAAAAAAAATGACAAGGTCGAGTACTTCCGAAAAGGGTTTCCATATTCGATTTAACAAATGTGTCTACCTCTATTATTTTGCCTCGTATAAAGTATGTGTTGTGGTACAGTATATATGTAGTTTTTTATATGTTTTCCTTTACGACGACAATCGAAGGTCATTATAATATGCATTTTTCATTTCAAGAACTTTTACAAATATAAACAATTTTTCATTCAAAATGTCAATTCCAAATTTGATTGGACAGTTCATTGTCCCAGCAGCTGTGTCGACGCGTCTACCTGTATTCTTCTGTTGAACCAATTTTGACTTTTAAATTGTTTAATAAAAAATTATTAAAATATGTAAAAGTTCTTAAAAAATACATATTATAGTGATCTCCGATTCACGTCGTGGAGGAAAACATATAAAAATCTACTGATATTTGAAAAAAAAAAACCTTTAAAACAATTTGACTTTTTTAAAATGCATTCATAATAACCTTCAGTTGGCGTGGTACGAGAAAACGTATAAAAATCTACTTATTATATACTCAGCCATATGGCTAGATATGATATATACAGGGTGAATGAGAAGAGAAAACCAACCGAATAGTTTGGTTGTTGATTCAATTCTCGTTTTATTTCAAAAATATTTTCCTTACGTACTACTGAAACTAATCTAACTTAACCTAGTCGCAGCCACACAATTGTTCTTATCTATTCTAATATTGAATGAAGAACATTGCAGGGCTGCTTTACATTTCATTCAAGTGATCTTGTGCATCTACTGAGCGCATCGATATCTGTGCGTGTGGGTCATAACCTTTATTATCTGGCACATTATCGTATGCGTCAGCGCACAAGATCACCGAATTGTTCACATGTGTTATTTTATGGCGGCTGGGAAATATGTAATTTTTGAATATTTATTGTTTATTGCTAGTTTTTCCCAGCGCCTCAACCGCACTCAAAAGTATGTACAAAGTATTTTGTACACAGAGTGAGATAAAAAAAAACTGCAACAAAGTCAAACGGTATTTTAGCCCATTCCCGGCGAAGCGCCTGCTTGAGGTGATCAAGGTGATTGGTATTTATTAGTGCCAACCTTGCTTTTCAAAATACTCCAGACACAATAGTCCAACGGATTGGTAAGCGGAAAATTCCCACCAAAATGTTATTGTTCGCTTGTAAAGAATATAATGAGCTGTCACTGGAATAATTTTAACAGCTGTCGGACGAGTGGCTTAGAAATGACAGCAGTCGGAAGTTGGTTGCAGTTTTTTCATCTCACCCTGCATGCATGGAAGTTTCGAAGATCTAATTCAGAATACTCTACAATATTCCAACGAAATGGCAACCACGTTCATTTGTCAATGAGTATACACACAAATACAAACAAATAAACAAACGAATGCATGTAAACAACAAAGGGGACAGTAATTATAAATACGAGTGAATAAGAGAGTCCGATTGATGATGCCACAATGAGAACTATACATCTGAGACTGACTCACAGAGGAAGGAATATGAGAAACAACAATAATAATAATAATAATATAATAATAATAATAATAATAATAATAATAATAATAATAGGAAAACAAGTCAAAAAGCAGTATGTTCGACCGGTCGAAATACCCTTTTCCATTTCGAAGGAATCTGCTACTTTTCAAAAATAAAAAAGTTCGTTGAAAAATATTTCTAAAATTATAAAAATACCGTCGTAGACATATATAAATTTTCATCAGAGACCATTACGATATTCAAATACGAAACTTGAAATAATTCCGTTGAAAAGTGTCCCTAAAATCATTAAAATACCGAATATAGGGAGCTACGTTATATGTGGGCTATACGAAAGCATGTACCAGCATAGAAAATGTTCTCTCACAGATAGTAGTACCCACTAAGAACTTGAAATTCCAAATTTTAATTAATTCCGGTGAAAAGTGGGGCTAACATCTTAAAAATACCGAATATAGGGAGGTACCGTTACATGAGGGTTATACGAAGACATGGACTTGCATAGACAATTTTCTGTCTCAGGCTGTAGTATCCATTTCGAATTTCAAATACCAAATTTGAAATATTTCCGGTGAATAATGTTGCTGAATTCATCAAAATACCGAATATTGGGAGGTACCGTTATATGGGGGCTAAACGAAGACGTGGACCTACATGGCTCATTTTTTGTCATAGGCTGTAGTATCCATTACGAACTTCAAATATCAAATTTGAAACAATTCCGTTGAATAATGTCGCTAAAATCATCAAAATATCGAAAATAGGAAGGTATCATTATATGGGGGGTCATACCAAAACGTGGACCTACATGGCCCATTTTCAATACCAAAAGTCCTGCAGACATAATATACATTTGAGTAAATTTGTGGGGTCTAAAATGTATATTTCGAGGTTTTACAAACCATACCAAGGTGGAGGTTATAATATGTACTATTAGCCTCTTTTGTAAAGGATTTAGAAACCCAGTTGGTTTAAATTGTCAATTCCATTGCCTATACCTAAACAAAACCAGCTGTTGCATATTTAAAAGACAATTTGACAGTATAAGACTCCAGCACAGAGTTGCATTTTTTAAGTTTCTTTGAAGTTGAACAACCTTCCTTATTAAGCCATGGTTGTATCTAACTTTGAATAGCTAATAGCTATGTAATATGATTTTATGGTCTTAGAGGCCCTGTATTACACAAATGTGTTTGAATAAATAAATAAATAAATAATTCTGAAAGGTATTTTGACAGTCTCTGGGCTGTATTTCACTAATTTTACCAACCCATTTCATAGGCCACCATTAATAAATTATTAAAATTATTTGATGATTGAATTTAAAACACCATTTTTTCAAAGTAGATTTTTCTATTAATTTATTTACCCATTGTTGTATTTTATGTATTAAAATAATTATTTTTTTTTTTGTTTAGTAATTTAGCTTTTTAAGACGTCCAAATCGAGTAAAATAAAAGATTTTAGCAAAAAAAAAAAATAAATAAATAAAATACATTACTACATATATACCAAAATATACATAATAATTACTTTTAAAACAAATTAAAAACCTAAAAAAAAAACAAAAATTCTAGCAAAATTGATTTATTTTTCTACACATTGGCCTTCTTTTTTAAAATGTGCAAAACAAATTAAAACAAAATACTTTACCATTGCTAATTGTAGTATTTTAAAATGCATTTTGTTTTTCTATTGGAACATTTTTTATATATTTGAAAATTTTATTGGAAATTGTTATAAGATAATTTTGAGTCGATATAATGGTTAAGTAAAACCCAAACAGTGAAAGATAAAATCCAATCCTCGCAACTGATATATGAAGTTCTGAGTTTCTTCGTAATCTCTTTTAACCTTGAATGGGGACATCAAAATGTGAATGCAGCCGGTGTTTTTGGTAACAAAATGGTTTTCTATTGCAACAATAGCAACATCCACTACGAGGAATATTTAAAAAAAATATTTTTATGAGAAAAAAATCCGTAAGTTTTTTTGAAAAGAAAATGCTGAGAGAAGAGAAAGAATACAAAATTCATGTTCCGAAAAAAAATTAAAACAATATGTAGATGAAAATAAATAATAAACAAAATTTAAAAATTAATAAAAATTACTTATTTTTTAATTGGTTAAGGTGGGTAAGTATAAAACTTGCAACTAATATAGAGCGAAGAGCTTGGGTCAGAAAATATCTATAGAGCTTTTAGGAGAAAAAGTGTAGATCTATTTTTTTGGAATAAATATGGATGACGAGCCATTGTTATTCTCAAAGAAGATCTACTGATCTCTACTGGGGTCAGTTAGATCTTCTGTTGAGGTCTTCTACAATAAGTTCTAAATATATTATACTGAATACTAATAGATCTTCAATGAGTAGGTAAACATTTCTTCTGTGTCCCGATCATATCTAGTAGAAGCAGTTGTAGGAATTTGATCAGAACATGAGAAGATCTATACATCTCGTTAAAAGATTTAGCGATAATCTAACCAAATTCCATAAGCATTTCGTTGTTCTTACTTTCATTTTGAATTTTATTAGTATATCATCCTTAAAGTATGCTTCACCAAATGTAGTATTAAAAATACGTGAGAAACCATTAAATTAAAAGTACTGCCAAGTTTTTGGTTTATAAACCTAGGGGTGCCATCTACATTTGAGTGACAATACCAATACAACGAATCATACTGTAATTTTGGCATATAGATGTCGTTGGTGAGAAACACATGAACAATGTAGGCATCATGGTAGAAGAATAAAGGTAGACGCGTCGACACAGCTGCTGGGACAATGAAATGTCAAACAAATCTTTGAATTGAAATTGTTGAATAGAAAATTATTTAAATTTGTAAAAATTGTTAAAAATTAATATCATAACAACCTTCCATTTGCGTTGTAATGGGAAACATATACAAATCTGCTTATTTTTGAAGAAACATCAAACAAATTTTGACATATCAATGTTCACATGCGTTGATGTATCTACTTATATTCTTCTGCCAAGATAGGTATGTTAGAATATGTCATCTAATTGTCAAAATGTAAATTCATTGTATATACAAAAATCAGATATATGAAACTTTTTTTCAATTGCTCTTCAACTTGACAAGTCTCTTACAAATCTATTTAACTACATAGGAGTGCAAGGCGCTTAAAAAAAAACTAGTAAAAATCTCAAAACTAGATGACAGTCCCTCAAACTCAATATATGCTGTACCAGAACCTGCAATAAATTTCAATATCATAATAGGGAGAATTGGCTACCGTAGGAAAAACTTTTACATTCTTGCAGTTCTGGAACAGAACTAATAATTTGCAAACACCTCAACACATTTTTTTTCTCTTGGTAGTCTTGTAATATCATATATATTTTCTTTATAGTCCAATTTCCTTGTCCTCTACCTTAGGAAAAGTAAAGAACAAAGTTGACATTATAGGGGTTTGATTATTACATATTTCCCATGGTAGAATAATACATGTAACAGCAAGTTTTTTTGTACAAGAAAACAATCAATTTTCAATAAATTATTTTAATTTCTAAAACATACATTTTTTGGAACTTCTATCATTAAATTTGAAATGCAGAAGAATAGTTCTTAAAATATTCAATTTTAATGCTTTTATATCATTCCCCTGAGTATATAGTTGTTAGCTGTAGGTCCAAATCTCTTAACACATCAAGCAGTCGCCAGAAAATTGTGAAAAAACAAGACCCCTTTCAAATTGAAACCAAAATGAAAATATACATAAAATATTCTACCTTTTTTCAATTCTAGGAAACATAAAATATACGACTATATCACCGAATGTGGTGTCACTGTTCCTTTGTCACCAAAAGAGCTTCCACACCATCACCGTTGGTGTTTTGCAAAGTATAAAAGCGTTATTTTTCATTATTAGGCAACAAATGTTCACATTTAACGGCAATGGAGAGTTCAATCAACTGGGATATGCTGATACTTGCAGTAATTATACCTTGCATATTTCCGTTAAAATAAATGCATTTTTTCAGAGACATGGCAAACTTTTTATAAATGTAATTTGGTAGTAATTTCATTTTTTTTAACAGTTGCTTTTTTCTAGTTAAAAAATTAGACCTCCGAAAAAAATCCCTCGTTTTTTCTCAGAGTAAAACCCACTCAAATTCAGGAGAGCAGAAAAAATGTTGAGCAAACTCGTTTTTTCGATGTCACTCGAATAGAAGTTAGCATGGTACAATAAAAAGGTAAAGTAGAGCTACCAGCTGATTACAATTTTTTTCTAAGTGTGCCCGACTTTTGCCAATTTTGTGTTTGTTTTGAAAAATAAAAATAAAATATTTTCAAAATCAGTGATTGGAAGAAATTTAATGACAGATATCAGATTTGCCATGGAATTGAAAGATTGAACATTTAGGATCACATTTTTGAGAGATCATACAGGCATTTCATTCATCTTTCGCGCTATTTGACTCATTTAAAAAATGAGCAAAAAATATCAAAAAATGAAAACAACTTTTTGCATGTAATTTTGAATAGTTCTGATAGAAAGCTCCTCCTCATTGTGCCATGAATATACCATTTGTTTTTCTAAATACCTATTAAAAGAACGAAAAATATTTGATACTAATTTTCTTAAATTTTATTATAGCATAAAGTAAAATATTTTACGTTTTAATATTATAAAAATAGTTATTAGTCTCGTTTTATACTGTGCTATCAATTCACTTGGCATACCATCTCTTGTATGAAGAAGCACGACTAGTCAGTTGAACAAACCACACATTCATTGTGAGTGACTATGAGAATACAATACAACATATCAACTTTTTTCAGCATTCACATGCCAGAAAATTGACAAAATTAAATAGATTTCAAAATTTTAAATTCTAAATTTGCAAAAATTGAAAATTAGAATCAAAAACCCTAAAATAAAAAACAATAGAAATCTATCCCTCATACTCTTAAATCGATTACAACGACTTTGCGATTGCCACCATTGGCAAAAGTCGTCATCGATTGTTAGACTTTCCAAAACCAAAAGTCGACTTACATATCCCTATTGCCGTGAGTTTCTCATTAGGTTCGGAACAAGTAACAACAACGCGCGGCGGATGTTGTGCGTCCACTGACTCAGTGTGTGAAATACAATAAAATACCGTGAAAAACAACAAGAGAAGAAAGAAAAAAACAAATTGGAACATTGGAAAAAAGTTGTTGATTTTGCGTGACGTGTAAATGTAAAATGAAAAAGAAAATTGTTACAAAGAAAACAAATTAAACGATTTTAATAAGATAAATATAACGGTAATGGCGAATTAGAAAAAATAAACAAATTTCAATGAAATTGTGGAAGAATTTTTTGCTGTGGCAGGGGCAGTGCTGCTACTGCTACTTGTAATGAGTGGGGGAGAAGAAGAAAAAAAAAAGTAAAAGATAATCTCTCATTTTTTCGGTACAATAGTTTTTGGTGTCCAACGTGAATGTAAACCTGTGTGTGTCGGTGTGCGTGCGTCGTGTTGATTTATTTCTCTGCCGCATCTTCGTTTTTTTTTTTGCAAATTAAGCGTGCCAAAGAAGCAACAAAAGTGTGTTTTTTGTCAATTCCAGCAGCAGTAGCAACAACAACATGATAGTGACATGAAATCGTGAATTACTTTGCTTTGACAATTGCAAACAAATTCTTGCACAATTTTACATTGTTGCCGGGGTGGAAGAATTAATCCCCAGAAATTTGTTTGTTGTACTTTGATGTGTCGTCTAATGCTATTAACCGTTAGTTAGTTAGTTGGTATGCTCGCGCTCTTCTCGGTTACCTGTACAACAACAATAACAACAACATATCATCATCGTATTCTCTCCTCTTCTTGAGGTATACAACATCAATGAATGAGTGAGTGGTTGTTGTTATTGTTCTAGTAAAGTGAATATTGTGTTGTTGGGGCACAAAAACAATTGTGATGGTGGTACGGCGGCGGTGGTGGTTGTTGCTTGTCGTGTGGTGAGTTGAGTGGTGTGTGCCATGAAATCTTCTGGACATTAGCTGTTTGCCATCGTGTGCCCCTTATGTTTGCTTACGTTACGTTGCGAGGAGTGGGGGGAAGACAAGTGTTTCGTTTTTGAAAAGAAAGTGCCGTCCAACAAAATAAGCCCCAACAACAGCAACAAAAAAAAAAACTGCCAATGTAACTTAATCCCAACCACCTGACGACAGCGACAGCCATCATTGTCATCGTCAAATAAAGATAAATGAATGGACTTTGCGACGGCAGATTTATGTTGGATTTACACAAAGCGGTTCATTTATACGGCAACAACAACAATAATTACAATTAATGTCATTTGTCAAGTACTTAGAGTGGTATTTGATAAAAGCGGTAACAAATAAGAATAGCGCGTGTTTTTTCGTCTACGTTGGTTGTCCACCATTCCGGGGCTCGCAAAAATTTGTTTCACTTTGTCTTAATACCTCCCTCGGGCGCGTTATTAATCAAAAGATTTTTTTGGCAATTGTTTTTCATTTGCAATCGGGTCCCACACATCCGGTTGTTCTCCTAAATCCATACTCGCATTGTAATTGTGATTTTTATTCGTTACCATTTATTTTATTTTTTCTCTATAGAGTATTAATCCATTGGAACTTTAAAAAACAAACAAAACAAAAAAACTCACAAAAAGCACTCTTTGAAAATCCCACCATTTTTTGTTGTTTATTTCATTATTATTCTGTGTGTGTTTGCATCTGTGTGTGTTTGAATGACAACGACGACGGTCATCATCATCGGCTATCAACAATAAAATACCCGGTCTCTAATTCTAATCAATACAATTGTGTGTTGATTTGTTGTTCTCTATTCTCGTGTCGTGTTGAGTCTCTCTCTCCCAAACTCTCGCACACTCATCGATTACATTCCTCGTCGTATTTGCCGGTCGGTTATCTATGAGAGACAGACTGTTGCACACAGAACATCAATAGAGAGAGCAGCAGCAGCAATAGCAACAACAACAACTACACCATTGACCATAGAAAACAGGTAAGTTGTCATTCACAGACATTTGTTCTTTGTCATTTGCACAGTATTTTGAGTTGGAATAAAAATGGAAGCTATAAAATGGGTAACAAATGTTATTTTCTCAAATTTAAAGCTAAAAATGGAATAAATAAATATAAATTTAGATAATTTTTCCACAAAATAAACAATCGATAAATTTTAAGCAATCCTTCCTTTGTAATAGAGGAATACTATTTTTGACGGACTTGTAATGCAATTTGATTTGAAGAACGAAATTCCTATAATCACGGATATTAAAAGAAAATTCTTTGAGAGATTATCTGAGCTAAAATCGAATGTTTTAAAATATTTTTTTTTGGAAAAAGGCTAGTAAAAATTCTCGGATTTATTATACCATAGTATATTAACTATGTCATTCCGTTTGTAACACCTCGAAATATATTTTTTTAGACCCCGGAAAGTATACAGGGTCTAACGCCATCATTTTTACATTTTTTTTTTAAATTTAATTGAATGAAAGCAAAAAATAGTCGGAAATAGCATCAAATTTTAGAATAAGTTTCGATTTGTTTGAATTGGTCACCTTTGGCACGAATTATGGCCTTCAAACGGCCAATGAAACCGTCACAGGCTGCCCGAATATTGCTCTGCGGTATTTTGGCCCATTTCCGGCGAAGCGCTTGCTTGAGGTCATCGACACTTTGGTATTTTTTAGTGCCAACCTTGCCTTTGCAAAATACTCCAGACACAATAGTCCAACGGATTGGTATGCGAAAATTTTCGTTGGCCATTATGCGCTCTAAATGAAGTGAGGAACCTCAGTTTGCAACCATTCTTGGTGGCGCGTGCCGAGTGCAATGGTGCAGAGTCCTGTTGGAATGTCCAAGGTCTGCGGCCAAAATGTTTGAGTGCCCTAGGCTTTAATACACCCTCCAGAATATTTTTGCGATAATATTCGGAATTTTTCTGATGCCATGGTCGATTAATACGAGCGGGGAGCGACCACCGGCTGTTATGGCGGCCCACACCATCACCCTGACCGGCGCTTGAGTTCTGGTGGCCAACCGAAGGTGCACATTTTCAGCTGACCCCTTTGGCAAGTAAACACGATCATTTTGTTTGTTTACAAACTGCTGGACAACGAAAGTTTTCTCATCGGAGAAAACCAAATTCGGCAGTTCACCACTTTCGGCCAAGCGAAGCAAATCTTTAGCTCTTTCGAGTCGGTTTTCTTTCTGTTGCGGTGTAAGTTCTTGCACTTTTTGGAATTTCAATGGCTTTACCCCGAGCTCATTTTTCAATATTTGCCGAATGGAATATTACGATATTTTCAGCCCACGAGCCATTCTTTGGCCACTGCGACGCGGGTTTCGATCACGTCGCTTCTTTACGAACCATTTCTGCTGATTTTGCTGTTTTCTTCCGTCCACTTCCTTGACGTTGGGCTACGCTACCAGTATCAGGGCAACGAGCGATGATACGAGACACAAAGGATTTATTCACATTTAAATGTTGGAGTGCTCTAAGGATAGCCACTTGTGGTTCTCCAGCCAAATATAAAGAAATCTAACGAACACGCCTGAACTCCATCACTAATAACTTTTTTTCTTTAAAATTCTTACCAAAATGCTTTTGTACGCTTGTAAACAATATGATGAGCTTTCACTGGAATAATTTTAACAGCTGTCGGACGAGTGGCATAGAAATGAACGGAGTCTAAAGACCATTCCTTCGGAACCTACTAAATAGAGAGTCAAAAATTTGAACAATTATAAACCAAGTCAAAATATATTTAAATAATCGAACACCCGAACCCTTTTATATATTTTTTTCGTTTAACAATTTGTATTTTTTTAAAATATTTTTCGAAAATGTTCCAAAAAGTATCGGGAGATCCTATATTCTCCTGTATTCTCTTAACTTTAAATCTAAAAATTATGCATTCGTTATAAATTTTCCCTTATTTGTATAATTTTGCAACACTGTGTCCTACCCTACCCACATATATTTTTCTAAAATCGCCATTCTTCACAAAATCGTTTTCCTATCATTGCAAACATTCCTGCACACACCGACACACACACATACCCAATGGCATCGCCATCCTCATAATTGTTGGCGTTGTTGCTGCTGATTTTTTCTGCTTACAACCGCAAAATCTGAGAATTAAATGTAATTATGACCACTTAAACCGGTTTTACATTCTGTTCTGATCGTGGCCGGCCACGAGCAAAGCGTTGGGGGGCAATAGTTGTCATACTCCTTTCAATTTGCATTGCTTCACTCCACTCCAATGCCCTCCCTCCACAACTTGCTTTCATCTCCGGAATGGTCTCGCTACAACTTTGACACAACGTTGAACAATGAAAACCGCCCCCATATCCCCAAGTTGTGACTGTCATTTACACTCAATTGAAAATGTTTTTTTTTTTAATGGGGAGAGAAGATAAGAATGTAGGCGCAAACACACATATAAGTATGTATTTACTTAGAAGCCTATCAGGAAGGTATAACCCAGTGAACTATTTTTGCGAGAGAAATGGGAAAAAAGAGAAAATAATATAAGCAGGATGGAGAAAAGAGGTCTTTTAAGGCCAGAAAAGGTCTTCTGTTACCAGAAAGTGTCTTCTGTGGCCAGAAGAGGTCTTCTGTGGGACCGAAGAGATCTTCTGTGGTACAGAAGAGGTCTTCTGTGGGACAGACAAGGTCTTCTGTGGTACAGAAGAGGTCTTCTGTGGTACAGAAGAGGTCTTCTGTGGTACAGAAGAGGTCTTCTGTGGCCAGAAGAGTTATTCTGTGACCAGAAGAGGTCTTTTGTGACCAGAAGAGGTCTTCTGTGAGACAGAAGAGGTCTTCTGTGGGACAGAAGAGGTCTTCTGTGGGGCAGAAGAGGTCTTCTGTGGTGCAGAAGAGGTCTTCTGTGGGGCAGAAGAGGTCTTCTGTGCGGCAGAAGAGGTCTTCTGTGGGTCAGAATAGGTCTTCTGTGCGGCAGAAGAGGTCTTCTGTGGGACAGAAAAGGTCTTCTGTTACCAGAAAGTGTCTTCTGTGGCCAGAAGAGTATTTTTGTGGCCAGAAGAGGTCTTCTGTGGCCAGAAGAGGTCTTATATGAGACAGAAGAGGTATTATATGCGACAGAAGAGGCCTTCTGTGGCCAGAAGAGTTCTTCTGTGGGACAGAAGAGGTCTTCTGTGGGACAGAAGAGGACTTCTGTGGACAGAAGATGTTTTCAGTGACCAGAAGAGGTCTTCTGTGGACAGAAGATGTCTTCTGTGGATAGAAGAGGTCTTCTGTGGGACAGAAGAGGTCTTCTGTGGGACAGAAGAGGTCTTCTGTGGGACAGAAGAAGTCTTCGGTGGGACAGAAGAGGTCTTTTGTGGGACAGATGAGGTCTTCTGTGGGACAGAAGAGGTCTTTTGTGGGACAGATGAGGTCTTCTGTGGCCAGAAGAGGTCTTCTGTGACCAGAAGAGGTCTTTTGTGACCAGAAGAGGTCTTCTTTGGGACAGAAGAGGTCTTATGTGAGACAGAAGAGGTCTTCTGTGGGACAGAAGATGTCTTCTGTGGGACAGGAGATGTCTTCTGTGGGACAGAAAATGTCTTCTGTGGGACAGAAGATGTCTTCTGTGGGACAGAAGATGTCTTCTGTGGGACAGAAGATGTCTTCTGTGGGACAGAAGAAGACTTCTGTGTCCGGAAGAGGCCATGATATGTCTTCTGCCACCAGAAGAGGTCTTTTGTCTTCTGTGGCCAAAAGAAGTCTTCTGTGGGACAGAAGAGGTCTTCTGTGGACAGAAGAGATCCTCTCTTCTTTCTCCACAGCACTCCTCCTCTGTCTACAGAATCCTTCCCTCTAAGGGATTAATTTTGAGAATTTTACATCTGTCACACGTTAGATGCACCAACCTTGAAAGGGAGAGAAAAAACTTGACATTGGCTTCTTGCCATACTGCCAGTTAATCATGAATAAAGCAAACTGACTGCTGATAAGCCAAACCTCTTGCTCTTCATTAGGTTCTATAGAATTTAGATTTGTTTTACTCAATCTTTCGCAGAAAGCTCCCAACAACATTGTGGTGATAAGAATGCAAAATAAAATTTTAAAATTATAATTTGTAAAAAAAATGCCGATAAGGGGACCAATACACATTCTGCTGCTGTAGGAAGGGTCTGCCTGGAGTTATAATTTTAATTCATTACATACAATTTTGAAATTTCGTATACAGATTTCCATATTTGAAAAGAATATTGAATTAAAATCAAGCTGCTGAAATTTGGGGGAGGAAGTCAGGAAGTCATCGAGTCAGGGAGTCAGATGTGGTTGTGTTGAAATGTTCGTTCGAGTTAACTAGGGTTAATGGAATAGGTTGGGTTAGAAATAAATATGGTATTGGCTTTATTATTAACGGCTCGAAAGGCTATAAATGACATTTTTTGCAATTGCAGAAATAAGAAACTTTGCAAAGGGAGATCCCATAGTTTTCACATCTTCTTTACCTTCCTGATTCTCCCAGTTTAATAAAAAAAACTTTCAGCTGTTTTTCGATGTATATTCAAATGCTAACTAAACACCGATCGTCGCCTACGTCATTTGGGTGTATCAACCTTCTTTAAATATTTGTTTACCTTTTTTTTGTTTTTGTATAAAACCAATCGAAAAAAAACTGGTTAAATAATTTGCACTTTTGTTGTCATTCACAAGAAAAAGCTGTGCACACACAACAAATATTATAAGAGATCCACTCCGGATTCGCATGTGCCCAAACATCAAAATTATAATGTCAATAAACTCCCGTCAAAATATCGAATAAAATTATAAATTATGGCTGAAAACGTTGTTACATTTTCAACGGCGATTGATGGTTAGTTGCCTGGAAATTTATTATTGACTTGATTTTCAATTGGGGAAGTGCATCAAATGTATTTTTAATTGTGTGATAAATTCATTTAAACGGATGCAGTAGGAAAGCAAGGAAGGCTGAAGTGTGTGGAAGCAGGGATGGAAAGTCAAAACTTGTCACATCG